CCATGTTGACCAGGATGGTCTCAATCTCTTGACCTCGTGATCCACCCGCCTCAGCCTCCCAAAGTGCTGGGATTACAGGCTTGAGCCACCGCGCCCGGCCCCATCACCCAACTCTTACAGAGCCTATGAAATCTCAGGCCACTAGGTTTGAAGAATCAGATGGTTCTTAGTCAGTAACCCTCTTCCCACAAGTGCCTTTCTAACCTCTACTGTGAGGCCTGCTTCCCAGTTCTCCAAGTTCCTTTATGTCCATTCTCTCCTATGAAACAGGACCATCCAGTGGAAATAATGCTATTTCCAGCTGAGAAAAAGAAGGCCGTTTATTCTTAATGGGAGGGCATCAGATAGGAATCAAACTTCATTGCAAACAGCTCACCATCCTATTGGGAGATGAATGAATGCTTCTCCGTTTTGGTTTTTCCTCAAGCGGGAGGAGGTGATGAAATTAGGTTTGGGGTGTGTTAGGGGTATAGCTTTGAGAGGCAAAAAGATCAGGGAAAGATCAAGCAGGAAGGAACTTACACCAGATTAATTTAAATATGTGTTACTTTTCTTCCCCCTCTCGCCCCATCCCCACCGTGCCGTCCCCGCCCCTTCTACAGCATTTCGATTCCTGGAGAGCATTACACATGTGTCCCATCCCAGGCCTCTAGCCACAGCAACCACACGACTCATTTCTCCTGGAACTGAGGCTGCATACCTGGGCTCCCCACAGAGGGGGAATCCCACCTGCTGTGAGTCACCTGCTGGCATAAAGGGCGGGCCTTACAATGCAGGGACCTTAAAAGACTCAGAGACAAAGGGAGAAAAACAACAGGAAGCAGCTCACAGACTCCGTGGACAACAGAGGGAACCTTACCAGAGACACACTGAACAGAGAGAATCAGGCTCAAAGCAAGTGGAAGTAGGCAGAGATTCCACAAGGACTAGTGCAAGGCACAGAGCCAGCCAGATTTGAGAAGAAGGCAAAAAGATGCTGGGGAGCAGAGCTGTAATGCTGCTGTTGCTGCTGCCCTGGACAGCTCAGGGCAGGGCTGTGCCTGGGGGCAGCAGCCCTGCCTGGGCTCAGTGCCAGCAGCTCTCACAGAAGCTCTGCATGCTGGCCTGGAGCGCACATCCACTAGTGGGACACATGGTGAGTGGCAGCCTGTGGAGCCAAACAGGAATCTCTCCAAGCTCTCCAAGGCTGTGATGGAAGACTGTGGCCTTGGGTGGAAGCTGGAAGGCTGAGGGCCATCAGGGAGTAAGGGAGGACAAGAGAGTAAGGTTCCTGAGAGTCATGGGCCTGAGGGTCCAGTATTTTTGGCTTCAAAAATACTTCTTACTTCTTTATTCTTTTCACCCCTTCCTCCATTCCAGCATCTAAGAGAAGAGGGAGATGAAGAGACTACAAACGATGTTCCCCATATCCAGTGTGGAGATGGCTGTGACCCCCAAGGACTCAGGGACAACAGTCAGGTACCACTGGGATGTGACTGGGCCATGAAGGAGAGGGGCCTGAAAACATGGCTTGGTACCATGGTAACCTAGAATTTGTGTCTGAAAATAGTAAGAAACTGGGTGAGTCTTCAGTGAATGGAGTAGGAAGAGGGTGTTCTCTTTCATTGCTTTCTTTTCTCCTTAGTTCTGCTTGCAAAGGATCCACCAGGGTCTGATTTTTTATGAGAAGCTGCTAGGATCGGATATTTTCACAGGAGAGCCTTCTCTGCTCCCTGATAGCCCTGTGGGCCAGCTTCATGCCTCCCTACTGGGCCTCAGCCAACTCCTGCAGGTATGAACTAGGGGCCTGGAGGATGGGGGCTTGCAGGTGTCAGAGACAGAGGGTTGGGGATTAAGGTTCTAGAGTCTTCTCTGACTGTGTCCTATGTCCTTTCAGCCTGAGGGTCACCATTGGGAGACTCAGCAGATTCCAAGCCCCAGTCCCAGCCAGCCATGGCAGCGCCTCCTTCTCCGATTCAAAATCCTTCGCAGCCTCCAGGCCTTTGTGGCTGTAGCTGCCCGGGTCTTTGCCCATGGAGCGGCAACCCTGAGTCCCTAAAGCCAACAGCTTAAGGATGGCACTCAGATCTCCATGGCCCAGTGAGGCCAAGATAAATCTACCACCCCAGGCACCTGTGAGCCAACAGGTTAATTAGTCCATTAATTTTAATGGGACCTGCATATGTTGAAAATTAGCAATACTGACTGACTTGTGATGCTGACCTATGATAAAGTTGAGTATTTATTAGATGGGAAGGGAAATTTCGGGATTATTTATCCTCCTGGGGGCAGTTTGGGGAGTATATTTATTATATTTATATTAAATAATGTACCTTTTTCAATAAAGACTTATTTTTGTGGCTATATGAGTTTAATTTCTAGGCTCAATTGGGAAAGAGAAATCAATGGAAAAGTAAGGCCAAGGGACTATAATATGCATCCCTTTCTTCTACTCTGAAGGGCTATGGTGGAGAGTGGTATTTTCTCATGACCCCCTGGTATATAGAATAACTGGGATCTCTTTGGTATTTAATTCCTATATGGCTGAGCAAGCAGAATGGGATTACCAAGGGTTGAGATTAGGAAGTGGGGTCATACCTAGGGGTCCCTTGCTCCCTGATCCAGTGCCTCCTTCCCTGCTTTCCTGGCCAAGGGTATATCTGGCCCATGATAGGAGTCCTGATCACCACAGGATCAAAAGTCAGAGCTCAGTTTTGAGCAGGAAGGGCATTCCAGGGAAATGAAGGTAAATCTCCCAGACCAATGGGACTCTCCCCTCAAAGGACATCTGGAGTCCCTTTCTTTCTTTCTTTTTTTCTTTTTGAGATGGAGCCTCACTCTGTCGTCCAGGCTGGAGTGCAATGGTGTGATCTTGGCTCACTGCAACCTCCGCCTCCCAGGTTCAAGCAATTCTCCTGCCTCAGCCTCCCAAGTATCTGGGTCTATAGGCACCCACCACCACGCCCAGCTAATTTTTGTATTTTTAGTAAAGACAGGGTTTTACCACGTTGGTTAGGCTGGTCTTGAACTCCTGACCTCAGGTGATCCACCTGCCTTGGCCTCCCAAAGTGGTGGGATTACAGGCGTGGGCCACTGTGCCTGGCCTTGGAGTCCCTTTGGAAGGAAGTTTGGTAACTCAAGGATAGCTGAAATTCTTTAAAAAAAAAGAAAAGAAAAAAGAGGAGGGGAAGTGGCTAGTGATTATTTCCTTTCCTTTTTTCCATAGTCATAGCATCAAAAAGTGTGGGCTTTGAAGTCAGACAAACCCAGCCAGGTTTGTATGTTGGCTTTGCCACCAGTCAGCTGAGTGACAACGAGAGAGTTATATAACTACTCATCCCTCCCCCCACAACACATATATAGCTCCCAGCACCCCTGGAAGAGCCTAAGGGACAGGATGGGCTGCTCCAAACAGGGAGGGAGGAAGAAGAAACCTAACAAGAGGAACATAGAGGGGTGGATGGAAGAGAGGCCACAATTTTCTGACTTCATTTCTGTATAGCTTGTTGGTGTCCCTAAGAACATTAGTTTCTGTGAGCAGAGAAATAAAGAGTTCAGAGATGAGACATTTCCAGATCAACATACAGTTTATTAGCCATTTCTGCTCAGAAGAGCCCCTTTCTCAACAGGACCTGTTCCTCTGACATAACAGACAAGAAACAGCCACCTATGCAGGGCTTTTCATTTATATCTCAAGTTATATCGGGAGGACATCTTAAAGCAATGTCAGTTGCCTGCTGGGGTTTCCTGCAAATAGCTAAGGTGTGAGATTGTCCAGAGTCCTACAACAGACCTTCAAGGTTTTAAGTTCCATGGACTTGGTCTTTGCCCAGGTTCACACAAGGAATTGAAAACTTCCTTTCAGGTAAACAACATATTGTACAAAAAAGGGAGGATGATATCATAATAGAGAAATAGCTAAGACCCAGTGCTTCTCCTCTGTAAAAACACCAAACTTTATCTAATACTATAACAAGAAATTTCTGCTGGGCACGATGGCTCACGCCTGTAATCCCAACACTTCGGGAGGCTGATCACCTGAGGTCGAGAGTTTGAGACCAGCCTGACCAACATGAAGAAATCCTGTCCCTAATAAAAATACAAAATTAGCCTGGTGTGGTGGTGCGTGCCTGTAATCCCAGCTACTTGGGAGGCTGAGCCAGGAGAATCACTTGAACCCAGGAGGGGGAGGTTGCAGTGAGCTGAGATCATTCCAGCCTAGGCAACAAGAGTGAAATTCTGTCTCAAAAAAGAAAGAAAGAAAGAAATTCCTGGCCAAGTACAGTGGCTCATGCCTATAATCCCAACATTCTGGGAGTCCAAGGTGTGAGGATCACTTGAGCCCAGGAGTTCAAGACCAGCCTAGGCAACATAGCGAGACCCTGTCTCTACAAAAACAAAAACAGCAGGGCATAGTGGCACATTCCATGGTCCCAGCTACCCAGGAGGCTGAGGTGGGAGGATTGCTTGAACCCAGGAGGCTGAGGCTGCAGTGAGCTGTGATTGCACCACTGCATTCTAGCCTGGGCAACAAAGTGAAATGCTGTTTCAAAAAAAAAAAAAAAAAGCAGTTCCTAAACTCTCAGCAGCCCTACCATCCCCGGCCTCCAGGAGTGATCTACCTCCTAAGTATTGAGAGAGTGGAGACCAGGTGGCATAAATTAGTGTGCAAAGCTTCACGGTCACATTAGATTGGCAGGATCATTTTATCGGGGAGGAACAGGTACAGCCAGCTTAGGGGCAGAGTAGGGGAGGAGACTGGTAAGAAAGAAAAAGGTCTACTTCCTGTCCATCACCTTCCTCAGGGTGGAGTTTCATATGGTAGGCTAAGGCAGAAAGCTCTCAGCCCCTGCAGGAATAGAAGAAATTTAGGGCTTGAGTCAGGAGTGAAGGAAAGAAGAAGGGAAAAGTTATCCTAGACATGAAGGAATGGAAGAAATAAATGGAGTCCTATCCTGTGTCTGCGTTCCCCACCAAGGGCCTAACTGGCTATTAAAATGTGGAAATCCTTCCATACTGGAAAGAAGCCACTGCCCTGAGCCCTCCAAGAGCCTGTCAACTGACCTGGTCTGCCCCCAGGATCCCTATACCTCCCAGTACAGCAGGCAGCCTCCAGGATCCTATTTAGACCTATGGCTCAACATCTGTTCTGATTAATTGTTGTCCCTTCCATATCCATGTTATGCTTTCACCTCTCACCCCAATGGAGTCACACAGGCCTGAGTTTGAACAGTTAACCCAGCTTAGAAGGGACACATGCCTGATTCACATCCTTGGAGAGCAACATCATGGTATCAGGAGTAGGAAGGGCAAGAGATACAAGAAGAACAGAGGAAATGTGGTTCCTAGAAGTCAGAAGGCATCAAGGGTCCATCAGTGTAGAAGTGGCTGGGGCGGGAGACGAAAGCCTCATCCATGGTGCTCTGGCCAGCCAACAGTGGGTCACCATTCGGCATGATTTCTTCAATCTTTATACAGTTTCTGAAGACTAGGTAATCCAGAGAGAAAAGTTAGGTCCTGACCTTAGGAATTCCCAACCCAGCAGGGAAAGGGAGGGAGGATGGCAGGAAAGGCCTGGGAAGAACCTGAGGGAGGTGGGGGAAGGCATGTGTAATTCCTAAACAAAGGAATCACAGAGATAATGGGCCTCTTTCCAATAAGGAGCTTGGAGCCCAGCTTTTTCTGTAATGGAGAGGGAGTGGCAGAAGAGGTAGGAAAGGGAATATGTATCCTCTTCCATAGCTCCATCTCATTACTTACTTTCCATTGGCTCAGTGTTCAAATGTCTCAGATCACAGGGCAAATCTGGTTCTGGCACTGGCTGTGATACAGGTCCTTGGTCTGGCTGTGGCACTGTTTGTGATACCGTGCATAGTGTGGGCTCCATTACAGGGTCCAGAGTGGACTCCAGCACAGACTCCAGTGCTGGCCCCAGATCCAGCCCTGCCTTCAGCAGTGACTCTAAGTCCATGCCGAGCTCTGGCACCAGGCCTAGCTCCGGCTCTAACGACTCCAGCTCTGGCTCCGGCTTAAGCTCCAGCGGTTGTTGCAGTTCATCCACCTGTCTGGATACCCAAAAACAGACAAAGGGGCAGGACTCAATGGTTTAAGTGAAATAGGAAATGGTAGAGCAAGCAGGAGCCGTCTCCCTCATCTAAGAAGGTAGTAGAGTGGAGGGCTAAAGAGCATGGGGTTTGGAATCAGGCTTGCTAGAGTTTGAATCCTATCATTTACTAGCTGGGGTACCTTAGGAAAATTACCTAACTTCTCTGAGCCTCAGATTTATCATCTATAAATGAGAACAATACCTAGTAATTCTTGAGCGGCAGTAGGGTGGTTAAAAGCAGGGCTATGGAATCTGACCTGTATCATTTATTAGCCATGTACCTCAGGTACAAAATTTTACTACTCTAAATCCAGTTCCTTAGCTGAAAACAGTGTTTGCTTCATAGGACCATTTTGTAGATTCAATAAAATGAGAAAATGAACACCATTTAGCCTACTGCCTGACACATAATAAACTTTCAGGCCAGGCACAGTGGCTCACACCTGTAATCCAAGCACTTTGGAAGGCCGAGGTGGGCGGATCACTTGAGGGCAGGAGCTTAAGACCAGCCTGGCCAACATGGTGAAACCCTGTCTCAACTAAAAATACAAAAATTACGCCAGGTGCAGTGGCTCACACCTGTAATCCGAGCACTTTGGGAGGCCAAGGTGGGTGGATAACGAGGTCAGGAGTTTGAGACCAGCCTGGCCAATAATACAGTGAAACCCTGTCTCTACTAAAAACACAAAGATTAGCCAGGCATGGTGATGTGCACCTGTAGTCCCAGCTACTCAGGAGGCTGAGGCAGGAGAATCACTTGAACCTGGGAAGGGGAGGTTGCAGTGAGCTGAGATCATGCCATTGCACTCCAACCTGGGCCAGAGGGCGAGACTCCATCTCAAAAAAAAAAAAAAAAAAAAAACTCCCAAAAATCAGTCAGGCATGGTGGCACTCGCCTGTAATCCCAGCTTCTCAGGAGGCTCAGGCAAGAGAATCGTTTGAGCTTGGGAGGCAGAGGTTGCAGTGAGCTGATTGTACCATTGAACTCCAGCCTGGGCAACAAGAGTGAGACTCCGTCTCAAAACAAACAAACAAAAAATTTATCCCCAGCCAAGTGCTGTGACTCATTCCTGTAATCCCAGCACTTTGGGAGGCCAATGCTTGAGTCCAGGAGTTCAAGACCAGCCTGGGGAACATAATGAGAGCCCCATCTCTGCAAAAAATTCAAAAAATTAGCTGAGTGCAGTGGCGTGTACCTGTAGTCTCAGCTACTTGGGAAGCTAAGGCAGGAGGATCACTTTAGCCCCCAGGTCAAGGC